GGGCTGGGGGGCCAGAAGGAAGGATAACAGGCACACATGATGGATTCCCAATATCAATCAGGAGAGCTGCCATAACTGGGTGAATCAATCAAGCCAGTTTGGGACAGGGGGGGGGGCATTTTGCTGCCTGTGACATGTGGCTGCATACAGCACCGTGATGGGGGAGTGTGCCAACAGGCACAAAGCGACCCCCCCAAACTGCAGAGTCTCATCCTTTAAGAGCCTTTGAAAGACTTTTCATGAAGTTTGGGGGAGGGGGGATAAAACGTATTATGTATACATGTAGAAAAATATCTGTACAGGTCATGTCTTTATTGAATATCCATCCATCCATCCATCCATCTTCCAAAGTCGCTTGTCCTATGTGGGATTGTGGGGGCTTGGAGACTATGCTGGAAGCTATGGGTGCAAGGGAGGGATTAATATTAATTTTCTCAAAGGGAGAATTTACCTCAATTCATTAGAGTGTGTTTGACTCTGGGAAAAACCTTCCATTGCCCTAAAATACACAAAACACAGTATATAAAGACAAATAAAGGCAATAAATCAAGGATTTTAATTAAACATATAAAACATCAGCTTTTAATTGTTTAAGATATCAAATAGTTTTTAATAGTTTAAACTACAATCTTCTTAGCAGCATGTGATCAGAAGAGGGAGATGGATATGCTTATCTTGAAGTGAACGCTGCAGCCAGGGATGACATGGAGAGTGGGGGGGGGGGGAGTTAATGCAGGTTCTGGAACCTTCTTCAGCTTAGAGGGGATGGAGGAGACCACAGACCACACAGAGGGCTGAGCTTTCATGGACGCAGGTGTGGATCGGCTGTGAGGAGGGTGGGGGCAGAGAGAGGGGCCGCTCCTGTCATTGCCGTGTTTGGCATTTCTCCTTTTAGTGGGGGCTTGAAGGACACCAGCTGCCTGCCCCCTCCCCCCCCCCCCCCCCCCCCCCCCCCCCCAATCGCAGTTAGTTAGAAACACGACCCTGACAAACACAACCCAAAATGAAATTAGCTTCCTCTTTGGGCCTCACAACTTTGTGAGTGTGATGAACGCAAATATGATCATCCCTCACACCCTGCACCCCCAAGCCCACCCCCACATCCCACCCCCACAGCTGCGCAGCATAAGGACAAGAAACCTAGATCCCCTTTGGGGGGCACAGCTGAATCCCACATGAAAAAACACTGCAATGAAGCTTTGCAGGTACTCTAGCCCTGCCTGCCATACAAACCCCCCATCTACATCCAGACAGAACGGCTGCCATGGATACGGGACTCATCCTTGGTGCTTCAAAGCCTCAGTTCTAAACCTGCATGACATCAAGCCTGAGCTGAACACCTCAGCTGCGGTTTGGGGCAAACATGGAACTGCTTTTCTGAAACCTGTGACTCCACTGTGCAGGACCATGGCCGCCCACAACGAGCATCCCTGCAGCTCTGACTTTGCACACGACGCTGCCACTCGCTGTCACATTTCGCCTGGTGAACAAGGCCCCTCTGGGTTTGTCCATTGTCTCAGAGGGGTTGGTGCGGGGGGGTGGGGGTCACTCTGGGAAAAGACCAGACCCTCTTCCTGTTCCCGGTCCAAACGGAAGTCCCCCATTTCCCATGTTTTCATTCTGAGAAAAGAACTGAAATCAACCCGCATCATTGAGTCCCTAGCAAGTGGAAAAGGAGAAAAAGCATTAAAGCAGAGAGATACAGCCCAAAAACGTATAGATATTTTATTAATTTGAAATAACCAAGAAAAAAAATGTTTTGCAATTGTTTTTAAAACATTGGCAAAACATTAGGTGAGCAATCAGCTGAAGTATCAGAGGCTCAGAGATGTGGACACCAATGTTCTGCTCATATAACCTGAGCCACAGGGTTATTATCCGGAGAACGGAAGGCAGAAAGACTTTGGCCGAGTTACTGGTAACCCAAGGTTGGCTGGATCAGCTTCCGTATTCAACTCCTCACAAACAAACAAGCAACCTCTTCTGATCCCTCAGCCCACCTTGCTGTCTCCGACCCGTAAAATCCCTGTGCTCTTCACACATTACCCTCGAGAGCTACTGGAAGTCTCATGCCGATTGTGCTTCAGTTAGCATAGAGGCTAATCTCGAGTCGTAGAGGACTTGCCTTCCACGTCAGTGTAAGCATGACACTAGCTTTACTCAGCGGTGGATCTCGGCCTGGCTCTCAGGTTTCAGGAAAGCAGTATCATTATCCTCCGCAAACCAGGAGTCACCCCCATGATGGTCTAACCTTTAGCTGAAGGTCTTAAGAGCGGCTCAGACGCCAGCCAATCAGGAGTGGGCTGCTCTGGAGAGGAGAAGCCTTACAAATAAACTCTGGGGGGGCTGAATGAGTCTTTCGGAGTGGTGACCACTGACCCCCGACACCAGAAACTCCTTCCCGACCCCCTCCACACACGCACCACATATACGTGGATGAAACCCCCCCCTCCAAAAAAAAAAAACTTTCTTTCAGATTTTTCCACTCAATACCCCTTTCAGCTGTGACCCTTGAGAAATCACCATGACAATGCAACAATGCACAGCCCTTTGAAAACAGATCCTGTGTTTGTTAACCATGTTCCCTGAAAGAATATCCAGGGGCAGAGCCCAAAGCCCTAGAAACTGACCATGTAAAAGCAGGCTTTGGACGCTACCTGAAGAAGATACTTTTCATTAACTCAGCCATATTCACTGCAGAAAGCTCTTCCCCAAGTATGTGAATTATGCAGTCTAAGCCTGGTGTTACCCATAAGACTCTTACACTTTACTGACTTCCTGCTTAACTGCCTCAATATATTAAACTTAAAGGGAATAAATTGTCCATGTTTTCTTCAAGGATATTACAATTCTGAGAACTTCCCAGAATTTTAGCCATAAATACCTCCTCAGACATAATATCCTCATTACTTTATAGTACAAAGTAGGACTAGAAATTTTCTAAAGACACGTTTCACTGAAGCTGCTAGACATTAGCAATTTAGCTCGGCAGATCAAGAAAATATGAATCCTATGAATATGTAACAAAGCCTGAGAGCGCGCACACACCTGCGCGGATACGCGCAGAAAAAAAATCACTAGTATAATGACACTGAACCACCCCAGGCTGCTGAAATTATTAGAAATTCGAACGTGGCTCGTAATTATCTTCTTGTTTGGGAGGGTTGTAACCTTAGAAATGTAATTACTTGAATGGATTAAGACTTTAAGAAGGGCTATGTGCTATCGAAAAATGCACGCGGAGTGCGGGGCAGAATAATTCTATCTTTCGGATAGGATTACGCCGGAATAACCGCTGGAATGCCAATTAGCTGTGCTCATTTGGCAGGCGGTACTTTTTATTCAAATAAACAGAATTTTTGGATAATATAAGAATACTACAGTTACACTTTGTGTTATAACATTACGGATTTAACAAAGTATACATTATCCGTGCGCAAGAAGGTGCCAGATCGTCGGATGCTCTCCAGTCATTCCCCCGGCAACACAACGTCATTACTGTCCTGCCGCTGTAAATGACGATCACCGCCCCCCCATTATACCGTCATACAGCGAAGGATCTTAAGAAACTTGACACGTGATCAACAAGTTGCGGATGAGGGTGGGTTACGGTGGGCTTAGACTTTTGTTCTGCTGAACATGGCCAGCCGCATGAATGGATTCAAAATTACTGTTGGAAAAAGGCTACTCTGAGTAAGAGAATCAGCTATGTAATAAAATAATATTCATTTATACATCTAAACAAAACAGCTTTCCGGGTTACACATGTTAATGCCTCGCTGTCTGCACACCCACAGAGGGCCGCGCACAGTTTAGCTGTCATATTAGCGATATCACCCCTTTATGCAATGCTCTCCATTATTCATCAAAAGTGGTCTAAGCGCCGGTGCACCTTAACGAGGTGCTCTCTGAAGATCCCTTATGAATCTTTTAGAGCACCGAGCAGAGGAAATAGATTGTGAGTCCGTGAATGGGCAGAGGAGAGGGAGCGGGGGGTGAAAATCTGCATTCACCCCTGCATGCTTCCATGTAACCTTGTGTTTCTCTGTTACTGAGATCCTTCTTGAAACACTTTATCTGTTTCTAAAAAAGCGTGCCTGGTCCTATATCACCCGGTTCATTATTGCACCAGGACAAAATAAATAGTTTTTCATAAAAGTTGAATGGAGTTGATCTAGTTGAATGATAATCATGCATTATTATTAACCAACAATTACAAATAATCTTATCTGAACTTTGAATTCTGAACACTGGGCCTTTGAATTTAAAAAGTCCTGTGAAATTCTCTAGAGATACTCGTTCCTCCAAAGATCGACATATTCCCTTTTTGTTTACTGCTTCAGGCTGTAGCCTTTCAGCGCGTTTAAATATAGTTATTTATACCCCGGAATTGGCTATTTTTAGAGCACCGCTAGAAAGATTACGCAGGATACTGACAATGGTTTTGCAGAATGTTAATTTCCCAAACACACGATGCAGTCATTAGATTTTTATACATCATTGTTCGTCACTTTACACATCCGATTAAGTGCAAGCAGGGCAGTGCTTTAACGCACCGAGCAAAGGGCTTCAACTGAATCGTTCTATTAGTCTATATTTTGTAAATGCGTAGGCCTATATTTTTAAAGAAACCCAGACAAAAGAAGCAATTAAACAAATACACGTAGAAATAAAATGAGATTATAGTCTATATCTGATACCTCTCATTACAGAAACAACAGAAGTTGTCACTCTTCCGACCAATTTCCTTAATTTTGTTCCGTTTTTAAATATGTTAAACGTGTTAACGGGTTCTTTTGTTAGGTTTGGTAGGATTTTACTGCCCTTTTTACTACTATCGATATATAAAAAGTATTGTACATTATTTTACGTACTTAATAATGTTTAAAGTTTCGTTCAATAGCTTCACTGAGCAAAGGTTACGCTGCCATTTCGGAAATCGCCGAATAAGCGTCGCTGCTTCGTCATTTCCATAGCAACCCGACGGCTGTCGGAAAACACCGAAAACACAGCATTCTGGGAGAGAGGAATCGGTCGCCATCTTGCATGGATAAAGTTACTAATCGGGTTGCAATAACAAACACGTTTGGTACAATATTTTAAAAGCCGCTGTACCTTTCTTCGGCACAGCAAAAGTAGTGTGAGCTAACATAACGCTTAGTGTTCTTTCAACTTTGTCCAGGGCAGCCGATTCAACCTCAGCTACCGGCATCCAGTTACCGTGAAAAGTGACCATGGGTCGTTCGCGTAGCCGCAGCTCGTCCCGCTCGAGACATTCAAAGAGCAGCAAGCACAGCAAGAAGCGGAGTAGGTCGCGGTCCAGGGACAAGGAGAGGGCCAAGAAGCGCTCAAAGTCCCGGGAGGCGAAGAGGAGCCGACGGCGAGAGTCGCGCTCCCGTTCCCGCTCGACCAACGCCTCCTCCCGCAGGGAGAGGGAACGAGACCGTGTTTCCTCGCCGCATGAGAGGATCGACATATTCGGGCGCACGCTGAGTAAGAGGAGCGCCTTGGACGAGAAACAGAAAAGGGAAGAAGAGGAGAAGAAGGCTGAGATGGAGAGACAAAGAAAAATGTAAGCTCCCTCCCCCACATCCTGCACGGTGCATCATAGCTGGTGCTATACCGTATTAGCGACCTGAGCACACCTTGATTACTGCAATTGGGCTGCACGATCGGGTGCGATGTTTTGGGGTGTCTCTGGGCCGGGGGGTAGGTTATGAATATGTGCTGGGGTAAATAGTGCGATCAGTTCAGTGAGAAGTGGTCATCCCACGGCAGCGTGCACACTGGGCCTACACTTCCTCCGCGCCTGTGGGGTCCCACGGATGACTGAGCTAGATTACGTGCCTGACCCGAGTACTAGGCACGCTCGCGGTTTTGTACCAGAACTGGCTTGGAAATGATTAAAATAATTAAAATATACGACTGATTTAATCCAGGATTAAGAAACGATGCGATTCTGCATCTGATTCTGTATGTGTCCCCTCATGTAACTGCGTGTTTATAAGTCCGTGTTGAGCTGGACCTGCTATTTAACATCTACCCGTCCAGCGCCTCGGGGATTTTTGGGATGAAAAGCCCTGATCTGACAAAGGCGATTGCGTGTAGCTGTAGTTAAGCCAATGGCACGTTTTTTTTGTACTGAAATTCTCGGGGCATCCTACATGTACTTCGAGGCATTTGTACAAAAACAGTTGCTATTGCTCGGCATCTTGGCCCATCCGCTGCCGACGCCTCGCATCTTTGACATGCAGAGCCTGGGGCTGGCCTCTTTCATGGTCTGACCCCTGGGTGTATAGAGATGGCGGCTGCCATGTCACCTGGAAGCATCTGGGGGAAGGTGGGGATGCTGGAAACTAGGGTGAGATGGTGGGCGAGTTTGCATCCCTGGCAACCGTGTGTATTGTGGCCACCTGGTCTTCCACCCTCCATCCCCGGGTAGGCTGGGTCCTGCTGAAGTCAGGATTTGTACCCTGCCCAACCTGCCGATACATGGGCTCGGCTGTGCGAGAAGGACATCCTGGTCTTGAGCAGTCAGGCAGGGTAGCTACTCCGCCCCCCCCCCCCCAAACACACACACACACGAGAATGCAACACAACCCCTCTGTCCTTGAGGTGTTTTTAATCACGTAATCTGAAATAAACTAAAGCACCCTTTTTAAACTTGGAAGGTCTCAATCTAGGCCCTGTAAAACTCAAATTACCACTTCAGATTTTCAGACACTCTCTTCCTTTTTCTGCAAGGGCCCTTGCTGCCCCCCCCCCCCTTTTGGAGGTAAGACAGGCAACTTGCAAAATGCCTTTTACTGTCCTGTTGCGTTAAGCTGCTTTATATCCGTCTGTAGGGATGGGGTCGGGTTGGTCGTGCCTGTCCCTGAGCCAGCTGTCCCAGGATGCAGGAGCAGGCGGGTATCAGGCAGGTCCCCCACAAAGCTGGGAGTCGCCTACTCCTTGGGGCAGGCTGCCTGCTTATACCGTTAGCTGAGTGTCCGCCCTTTGTGGCTGTTCCTAAATGGCTCCTTGGGTTTCGTGCTGTGGGCCGACTACCACAGAGCTTTGCAGTGCATCGTTCGGGTGACATCGTAAGCTGTCAGGCTGGCCTCGGTCCCCTTCCTGTTTGCAGGTGCAAGTTAATCCATTCACGGCTGCCCTGCCATTGTGTGGTTGTTTTGTGTTTCCCCCCCCCCTCCTACCGTGCCCCATTTCTCTTGGCCCCATTATTATCTGCATCCTCTGGTGCGGTCAAGCACAGTGTCCTCAAGTTACTCAGTCCTTTGCTCCCAACCCAGATTCAGTTGTAGCGCCCTTACCTACCCAGACAGACGACCCTGTAACCTACAGAGGCAGCCCTGATCCTTTAGCGGTGAGGCTGGCTCAGTGAATGGGCACTTCTGCGTGGCTCTTTGCTTTAGGATTCTGATCAGAAGGTTGCCAGTTCAAATCCCGTGGTCGCCAGAGTGATGTCACCGTTGGGGCCCTAGAGCAAGGTTGTGATCTTCGCCTGGCGTCCGATGTGGTCTCACCCCCTTATCCGCGCTATAGGAGAGCCGAGTCCCGCATCATGTGCAGAAGCCTCTCTCTTCTGGCACAATCTCCGTGCCCTTCATCCAGCATCCGTTTTGCATCACCCCATCAATATGTCTGCATTTCATAGGCCGTTAGTGTAAGTGAAGTGGGTTTGCTAGGCAGAACATCCTCGGTGTCGCTCGCCGCAGGTGTGTGGGCTGACTTTCTAAATGAGGACACATTTAAAAGGGGGTGGCTCTCATGTCCCCCCCCAATCTCCCCATCACCTTGCGCTCGCTCCTGATGCCGGTGTCCTTCGCCAACAGACGCCAGCAGGAGATCGAGGAGAAGCTGATCGAGGAGGAGACGGCCCGGAGAGTGGAGGAGCTGGTGGCCAAGCGCGTGGAGGAGGAGCTGGAGAAGCGGCGGGATGAGATCGAGCGAGAGGTGCTGCGACGGGTGGAGGAGGCCAAGCGCATCATGGAGCGCCAGCTGCTGGAGGAGCTGGAGCGGCAACGGCAGGCGGAGCTGGCCGCGCAGAAGGCCAGAGAGGTAACGCTCGGTCGTTGGGAACACAGGCGCTGTCCACAATCCCCCACCCCCACCCCCGCTGGGGAGCTCCATGGCACAGCTCTTGCTGGGTGTGTTTGAGTTAGGGGGCGGGGCAAGTCATGGAAAGGGGGTGGGGTTTGGTAGGAGTGGGTGTGTCCCGTCACACCTGAGCACTTTGGGCAGCTGGCCTAAACAAACCTGAAAAACGGTATTTGGCAACAACAACAAAAACACCCTGTGTGGCTTTAGGAGAAGGAGACCCAGTGGGTTTACCTTATTAGGGCTAACATCCACTCATAAGCGTTTGGGAAACTAAGAAGCTGTCGCCATGGAAACATTTAGCCGTACCCTGTCAATGGCTTCCCTTCCCCTTAACTCCTGCCCACTTTGTTGAAATTGTTACTTCACCAGTTTTCTGTCCCTAATAAAAAAAGCTTTTGCAAAATGACTTTTTGTTCCCCCCCCCCCACTGCTTTTATTTTTTTCCCTCCCCCTTCTTGTCAGCACATAATTCCCACAGATGGCAGCATCTTTGTGAGCTCGCCGTTAAAACGCTTCCTTTTCCAGCCATAGCGACTTTGAATCGTCATGCGGGTGACTGATCAGTCACGGGATCGCTTCTGAGACACCCCCTTGCTCAGTTACTCCTATAAGACTGAGGGTCACTTTACTGCTCCAGCAGATGGTGAATAAGCGGCTGTTGTCTCGCATCATGTGACCTCTCTAGGTGCTGTACATTTTAGGAGCTGGAGCTTTTATTTGTGTGTATATCTGCATATATTCTACTCTTGCTGGTGTATGTCATTATCAAAGCAGGAAGTGGCTTGTAGATGCTTAAAGACATTGATTAATTTCATTTTTAAGTTGACAGATTTTAGAAGCCTTTTAAAACTCCTCCAGGAGTCGTGCTGAAGTTGACTTTAAAAGCTCGGTTTTGTTTGGCTCTGTTTGGCTCTATAACGCCGGTGTTGTAACCGAAGAACGACCCAGTGCCCCCCCTCTTTTTATGGCTCGTGGGTCAGCGGCTCGATGCTAACGCTTCCGTCTTTGTGCCTGGCGTCCGTCCAGGCGGTCGCCACTTCCTCACCTGGCATAGCAAACGGGAGAGTCTCGTCTGTAAACTCGACACTCTCACGGAGATCGTAGACCCCTCCCCCTCAGCTCAGCCATGTGACGACTCACCAAATTCACATTGGCTTCCCTGCGCCCTGTTTCAGGAGCCCTGGTCATGCTTTTGTTGAAATTCACATTTCAAAGGGACAAATTTTAATAAGAATTTGATGTCTAACAGACGCAAAATGGAGAAAACCTGCAAAATTTGCCATGTCACTCGGGTGGCTGTGGTCCCTCTCCTTTCAGTTTCCTGTTTTACGAGACAGACTTTCTTGGTTAACCTTGTGTGTCAATGATATTTTGTTATAACTAACCAGTTCACATGTACTCTTATTTCCTCATGAAATGTTTTGCTCTAGGGACTGTATAGTTTGTTTTTTTAATTTATTTTTTTTTGAGTTCTTCAAAGAACCGCCAGCAAAGACTTTGCCAGTCCCCAGATGGACTGGTTGCGCCCCCCACCTCAACCCCCCCCTCGCCATTTTATTGTAACTGTAAAACCTTGGAATTTTTTTCCCCTGTCAGAGACGCTATTAAAAAAAATTAAGACAACAGGTGAACGTGTGCAGTTGTCCTGTGTCTCTAGCGGTACAGTACAATTGTAAGGAGGCAGCCTTTGGCTCCCACGTGCCCCCAAATCCACACCACCTACGCACCCCCTCGAGTGGAAGCGCTTCTCTGTCTCTCTGCAGGACACACTGGACAAGACAGTAAATATTCACCCCTTTAAATGATGATGCTTAACGGAGTTGTAGGTACACAGGCAAGGAGTTACGTAGGTATACGTGCATTGGTGAGCCAAAACTATTCAACCTTTTTACTTTTCTCTTGCTTATGATGATAATGATTTTATTAAGAGAGAAAAAGAGACCCATTGAGTTCATGATGTATCTTTTGATAGTCTAGTTTTTTTTTTCCTTTTTTGTTTAAAATGTTTATGTACGTAGGTCTTATGATTTATAAATGCATATAAATGTTTCTCTTAAACTGCAGGGGAGGGTTTATGGGCTTATCTGTGGTTCTTTAATTAGCTTGGGGTGTTTTCTGTGACTTAGAGAGGGAGAAGAGGATTTTTCTGTTCGTTGCGTGTATGTGCGCGCGCACGTTTATGTGTGTGTGTGTGTGTGTATGTGTAGTCTCACGGTTTTCCTTGTGTTGCCTGAGAGTGAGAGAGAGAGCGCAAGTTGTAAACGCAGTCCAGAGAAGCCCTGCTTGGTCTAACATGACGATGTCTCACCCGTCTAGGAGGAGGAGAAATCTAAACGAGAGGAGCTCGAGAAAATATTGGAGGAAAATAACCGTAAGATCGCTGACGCTCAGGCCAGACTGGTACGTGGACGCCGTTTGTGGTCTGTCTTGTTCGTTCGATATGTTTGTCAAAGGTGTAGGGCATTTCTACAAATGTAAATGTTTCCTTCAAAAGGAGACCATTTTCCTTGTTGGGTAGCCAAACATTATCAACCCCACATGTGTGAGACTTGTGGTGCGTTCGTTTTTCTCTCGGAACTCGGAAATTCCGAGTTGAGTGACATCACGTCCGACAATCTCCCGTTCGAGCTACCCACATCTCGGAACAAACATGGCTGTATTTTAGCAGATTTGGAGTTTTCCAAATGGAGAAAATGGAGAAGTGGAGAATTTTCCGAGAGACAAACAAGAAACACGAACTAGTCAAACCACATTAAAAGCTTTATAAAATATTTTAGTACATTCATAGCGATATTCTTTTTTCGAACGGCAAACAAACTACAAACAAACCAAGCCGCCATGTTGAAATTACGTCACAGGGGCAACTCGGACGACAAAATCTTGTCCGACTTCAACGTCATAAAAGAGACGTGTTTCCGACGGGAAGTGACGTTTTCATCCGAGTTCCGAGTTGGAGAGAAATAATCGAACGCACCATTGGTTCATAGGCGCCATGATGTCACCAAGCTGCCTGACAGTCTGCCAAAAGCTTACAGCTACAGGGTTTTAAGAGCTATCCACAGGCACTCTGTGACCCCCGCCAGATTGACACCGTGCCTTTAACACCAACACGCCCCCCCCCCCAAAAGTGAACAACGAATTGCCAAAGTTATGACATGTCTCTTGAACTAGTGAAAAGGGGAGTGGCAGACCGTTTTAAAAGCCGTCCCATTGTGTCCTGACGGGGCACAAACATGCCCAGCGGTACCCCGCAACATGCCGATTGGCACGGACACGAAGAAGTGCGCTCGCCACGGCAACTGAAAGCAAGCTCGCAGTCAGACGTGACCGCGTAGCTGCGTGTCACAGATTGGCAGTGGTGGCATCTGCGGGGCCAAGTCTGGGTGCCAGTCCGACACTGGGAACCGCTGTCTGTGTTCACATTGTTCGGCTGGGTCCCGTCTGCTCCCTTGCTTTATTGGGCATAGAAATTATTTTTGATCTGCCGGCTTTGTAGTAAAGTGCAACAATGCTGAGAAGTAGTGGCGCGGGAGAACCTCTGTCTGGCCCTCTGGAGGCTTGGTTCGGTGCCCGTTTTCCTCTCATCTGACCTGCTGCTGGCTCTCTCTCTCATTCCCCGCCCCTCTGGCGTCTCCCCAGGCTGAGGAACAGTTGCGAATTGTGGAGGAGCAGAGAAAGATTCATGAAGAGAGGATGAAATTAGAACAGGAGAGACAACGTCAGCAGAAAGAGGAGCAGAAAATTATCCTGGGCAAAGGGAAGTCCAGGCCTAAACTCTCCTTCTCCTTGAAGGCGACGGAGTGAGGGAACCCCCGACCCCCCCCCCCCCCCATCCCCAACTCCCCCTGTTGTATGGTAGCTTCATGTTGAAGTGTTCCTTCAGACATCCAGGTTTCTGTTATTGCTCACATGGGCTGTACGTGCACCATCCATCCAAATGAGTGGCCCCCTCCCCCCACTACCGCCGCCTCGTAACTATATATGCTCCCTATCTTATTTTTTTTATTTTTTTTATTTTTTTTTATAGTCTACACATCCTCTGAGACAGGTGATCAGCTGTCAGGTAACATAAGGCAGCTTGGCTTGCAAAATGTACTGGATGATGGAAGATGTCCTGGGGAGGGGGGTGGGGCTCTGTGAGGCTCAGATAGGGTACGGTGCTCACTGTTATTCCAGATTGGCGGCCAGACAGCAGGGGGTGCCATAATCCACAAAGGACTATGTTCCCACACTCCGGATGAACTTGTGGCACACATCGCTTTTTTTTTTTTTTCGTTTTTCCCCTAGAAGGATATTCCCCTCATTTTTTTTTCTTTTTTAGTATTTTTAGTGTCCGAGTCAAGGTGTCGACATCTCACAGATTACGCTCTCATCAGCACTGTTTTAAGCAAATACTGACTAATGCTTTTTGCTATGCCTTGTTTCGGGAAGAAGCGTATTTATTGTTCCACTTAATGAGGTTGACTTTTTAGTATTTTTTTTTTTGTAATGTCAAGAATAAAAAGTAATGTGGACAATTTGATTTGGACGTACCAGATTAACGTTTTAGCGTAACAACGTACTTGTTACCATGATGTTATAACGAGGTACAGTCGTCCGATCGATTAAACATCACGAAGCAGGTGTCGTTTTACCGTAAAGTTTGCAAGATGTCTCCATAGACGCTTTGGTGCCCGCGCCGCCTCGCAGTTGAGGGCTCGGCCGGTAGGGGCGCTGTGAGGTGCCACATCGTGTCAAACGGACTGCTCGCCTGCTCAGGCTTATGTTTTTAATTTCAGCCGTATGAAAACACGATCGCCCGTCGTCGTTGTACATAGTAGCGTGCGTGTGTTTCCCCGTATAATACGTAAGCCCTGCTTGTTCTTAAGCTGCCCTGGTTCAGGTAAGCATAACTAGCTGCATGGTGAAGCTGGTAAGAGGCGTCCGCGTGTGTGTCTGTGTGTGTGTGTGTATGTGTGTGTGTGTGAGAGAGAGAGAGAGTGCGTGAGTGTCGGAGTGGGGGTGAGTAGGGCAGGGCTTGGGGTTACAGAAAGCGGCAGAGCGTTACTTGTGGTGTAACCTTGCGTATTCTTCCTGTTCTGGAGACTGTACATTCACTAATAAAACCCTCGACTGCGTGCCCACCATTTGTGTATTTTTTTGTTTGCCTGAAATTCAATTTTATGCCCCAAAGGAATAAAAAATATAATGTTCAAACGTGCTTTGTGTCAGTACTTTATTAATTGGTAAGCTTTCACCTGCACCGATATACATTTAACACGTCGGCTGCCTTTCAATTGGCGGCGGATGTGGTTCCCCCGCTTCCCTATTGCACGGAGCCGCGGTGTCGCGGCTGGCTTCGGTAGCACCTCGCCGATGGTTCCTAAAGAAAGTTATGCAAGTCTCACGGAGGGGATGTAAAAAGCAGAGACGAGGGACGCACATCCAGGATATTCAGTGAATAGAGCCTACCTTTAAGCAGAACTTAAAACACATATAGTAAAGCCTTATGTACAATCTGTCTCGGCTTTTACCAGACGCAAGCTGTATGAATATAATATGAACAGCCACACATCTACTGATAAAAATGTATAACTAGTACAAGGTCAAAGGTTAAGCCAACAAAACATCTCAACATTCCACCTCGGACAGAACTGCTGATTAAATCTCTGCGTGTTTCAGAAATCCGGGGACTTAAATGCTCCGAATTGCTTGCAACTTTTGCCGTCGCTTTCCCTGATCCAGAAGGTTTTTTTTTTTTATCTTGGATAGTCGGAGAAACGGCGTTTTGTCGGGTCTCGTTGCAAAGGACAGGTCGGCTAGACAAGTCGCGGTTAGTCTCCGAACATTTTATTTTTTAATGTTTAAACTGTCCGCCAATCATAATTAGTGTGTTTTCAGTTCATTGTTAACCCTGGCGTTACTTAGCCAATATCTACAACAAACCGGTAAATAATTCCGAAATACCTTTTATCACAAAGAAAGGAGCATCATTAAAATTTCACCTGTACAGTAGGTCTACATGTAATGCTTCGTTGAAATTATCATAAGACGATTTAATTGCATCTTTCATTTGACTAGTGATAGACTAGTGTGTACTTATGGTAATGGATAACTAATTTATTAGGATTGTGTTTGATCTTCCAATGGCCAGCTACAGAGGAAGTCCACCACTTTACGTAGACGGAATGAGATCCACCAACTGAATAAATATTGGCAACAAAAGCTTTAACTACTTGTTTTGTTTTCTTTTCAGAAGGAAAAGTGTTTGACTTAAGATTGCGATAAGAAAAATAAAGCCCAGATTGTTTGTGAAATACAATACAAACGCGTGAGCTTATAAGTATATTAAACCAGGCATGTTCGTGTTAACAACACTCAGTTTTCTTACAAATTCATCGTAAAAACGTTCCCTCCTTTCGTTTCTTCAGCGCCCGTCGCTTACGTGTTCACTGATTAGGCCTACAGTCAGTTGCAGTCAGATTTTAAACATGCGGCTCTTTCCTAAAGTCACTTCCATGATATGTATACCATAAATTATATATAATATATATTAATCTGTATTATATCCAGATTGATAAACCATTAGTTCCTTTCTTTAGATTTCTCTTGTTTTACATGAAACAGTAAATCCTGTCGATCATAGGGAATATACAACATACGGTGAATAATTTTAAATACTTAAAAATCTTTATCCAGAATTATTAAGGTTATTTCGTTATATAAATAATACTCTCGTTAGGGTACGTTGATGTGTTTATATTTATGGACGTTTGAATGGGTCTATTATGACGTATACATAAATATAAACACGTAATAATACAAAATATAAGCTACGTTTAGTCGTATTAATATTACTAACATCAAAGTTGAAAACGTTCTATCTTCCGTGATATAAATCTAGAGACGTTAAAATTATTACTATAATTAACAACAACAGCAGTAACAACAACAACAATAATAATAATAATAAATCTCACTGTGATTATTACGTATGTTCTTTCTGGTGGGTCCGTTTTTCATGGGCACATGTTTTTGACATGATCAAAAAAAAGTCGTCCAAATTTATGGCTTTTTAAAAATGAAAATAGTTTCTTTTCACTTTATAACTTGTACTGAATGTGATTCACTGTCTTCGTCGGTACATATTAAGCATATACAGCTACGCGGCTGCCCGTCGCGATAAACGCAACACGGTTCCGAGAGTGTTTATTGGAATTAAAGCGCTCGGAACTTCCATAATCTCCAACGTGCGAAATCTCCTCTTTGATCTGGACCCAAATAAACAGCGGAGTACACATTTACACGTAAATTCTCACTGACTCAATTATCTTGTTAAAACGTGGGAAACAACATTTTTTCCTGACACATTTGATGTAGTTTGCGATAATGTTATTTCCGTATTATATTTCACACAACCTTAAGCACACAAATCGTCTGTTATTCAAATGATGTTGCCGGCAATACTATTCAACTATCATACAATAATTTTCTCATTTCACAGATTAAACATTTAAACTTTTCACAAAATAGCCTACTTAATTTTAATTTTCCACTTTTCAGTACCAACACGGAAATATTTTTGTTGTTTTTTTATTTACCCACATATTAAATTTTGTAAATTCATTAATTAAAATAAAAGCGTAAAGAAAGGATTAGAGTAAAAGAAAAAACAGATTTCAAAGTTCTATTAGAATTACCGTAAATCTGCTTTCGAAACAACCAATACAAGATATACATTAAATAAACAACACTTTAAGAATAAGTAGGCATAGAGACCTACTTTATCGATAAGTTGTGATTAAGTGTAAATGTATGTTATTAAAACAAAGACAAAATGAAAGTGCCGAAGAAATATTGGAATTAGCACTATGTAACTTAGTATAAAAGTCGCGAAACGTATTCGCAATGCATCCGCTAGTTGCCGCTGTTACCCTTTGAAAGAAATTGCCTGGTAATTTGAGACGTACCGTTGTTAGCTCCGACCGCGGTAGCTGTACAGCTAATCGGATTATTTTAACGCTGTTGGTTTCTTGGTTTAAAAATATGTGTTAAATGAAAAAAGCACTTTAGTTAATGCAAAGTGACATATTTTCAATAGGCCTATCTATAACATTCAGCATACCCGCTTGTCCTAACACATTTGCCTTATTTCATTGGAAGAAATCTAGATGACTGAGTATCCTTCAGCGTTTGTAGGACTGATTAATATCAACTTATAATTATTTTCACTTGTTAAAATGGGTATTCAAAAAAAAGACGTGTGTGACTTTTATTGGCGACCGTAGGTTTCAGAACACTGGATGAAAATATTAACTAATCCTATACAATATTCCAATACCATAGCTTTTTGAACTGAGATGCAGTGTTAATGAATTCATGCCATTGTGAGTGTTTTATCTTGCCAGTGAGTGTGTCACTGCGCTGGCCTCCGCGTCCCCTTCCATACCGTCTCTCTGGTTTGGATGCTGATTTGTGGTTGAACCGGTCGCCGAGGTCTTTGCGTTTGATTGACTGTTTTTTTCCCCCATTGACTTATTGGGCTCTGGCCAATCAGGAGCGGCGTGGGCGGGGCCAGTGGGTAGGTGGGGAACTGGTCGCAAATATCCAGTCTCGCAGTCACTTCGAGTTACTTGCATGCGAGGCTCGGAGCGTTTTCCTGTAGTCTCCCTTCGGCCAGCAGGTCCACGGAACCCGCACAACTCCACAGCGGTCTTTTCCAACTGAAAAAAGAGAGACGTACCCATGAGAACTAATATTTGAATTTAGTTAATTTATTTTCGTTCATTTCTCATTCATCATCATTATTGCATTTCTCCATTTTAGAATTATTTTAATGATTTTTGTAGCTAGCCAAAGGAATTAAAAGCATCGGTCTTCTATCTGCTGCTATTCTCGGAGAAACCATGCCTTTGGATTGATACCTCCTTTTTTGCAATTGCTGGACAAACGGGGGATTATTTTGTATCACGCATCGATGTACGAGGGAGAATGCATCGATGAGAGTCGCTCTGAACCGAGGAATGTGTTTCCTTCATGTTGGAGCAGTGAGGAGAGGCAGCGCGGCTTCGTCTGAATGAAAAGACTCCCGTTTCCCTTTCTCCTTGTGCATTCAGGACGGGATTTGGATCTTTCGCCGTGCGTGGGATAATTCTGCGCTCGGCAAACGCGATCTCTTTTCAGCCGCGGCGGGACTAACTCCAAAAAAGTCGCTTCGCGTGGATCATTTGCATTTGATTTATCAAATCTTCTGGCCCCGATCAGGATTACAGATTTGAGTTTTGTTACCGATTACCCCAGACGCTCGATTAGACGAGACACAGTTGCTTTATTATTATAATAATAATTATAATTATTCTCCTTTCGCTTTGATGAAAGCAATAATGGGGGACGCGATGTGGAGATACTATTTTGGAGTTATGGTTTTTGTTTGCAAGGTGAACCTGCCCAGTGCGGCTATTTTAGAGTCTATCTACTGGAACACAACGAACACGAAGTAAGTACGCTTAACATCCTTCACCCTGTTTATTCAAGCATGCCTATAATTTCAATTAAGAACCGTTTATTAAAACATCGATCAGTGATTTCCGAGACAGTGCTAATGTAAGAAGTGTCCGGGTAATTGCCATTGTTGTTATTGTGTATTTCAGCATTTATCATTAATACTCTGGTAAATTATTGAGTAATACGCTGAGTTTAAATGGTATATCAAGTGCGTTAACTCATGGCCCTGCTTGGCCTATCCCGGGAGGTCGTTTGATTCTAACCCGTCGGCGGTGCTCAGCTAGGACATAAGGAACAGTCGATAATTTTTTTCTAAAAAATATGTATTTATATATATATATATATATATATATATATATAGACGCTAAGCGCATGCGGTATACCTCCCGTGTCAGTTGGATTTGCAACCAAACCTTGACTGCCTTATTCACCCCAGTCGGCCTGAATAATATAAAAGTGACCGCTCTAATTTTCAATGTTAAAATCCTTATAAACTGCAATTTATCTCCGTGCTTTCTGATTACTTATAATAGTGAGATCATCAATAGGCCTACAATACAAGCAGTAATAAATCATTTCTCTTTGAATGAGCTGTAAAGTGTACATTGGGAGTAATTGTGTTTAATTACATGATTCTGCACATAAATTATATATTGTTGTTGACGTATTTTAATTAAAAGGGCAGTTCGACTCTTTTATGTTTAGTTTAGGTTTTTTTTACGACAGATATTTTTTTAATCTTATACACCTACGGAGTTCAGTTTATTTTGCTTTTCCTTTGCGATGGTTATTTTTCTGCCCGTATAGTTTAAGTGGCTATTTTTAAACGGACCAACACTGAGGCCTAGCTACACTTAAGTTTTAGAGTGCTTGGCCCATAGCAGATTAAAGTATTCCTGCAGGTTTTGCGCATTCATTTCCCACTGAAATTGTTCGTGCAAATGTAGAGGGACCATAGACTGAAATGTAGAGGTTTGCCGTATTTTTCGCATTCCTAGTTGTGGCCGCATCTGCAGCTGCTGCCGAACTAGAGCCAGGTACATGATGAATTGCTTGCGGGCCACATCCGAAGCGGGTGTCCGTACTCACACAGGCGCCCTTCACCAACAGGGCATACGAGTCCCTCCGTTCTTCACATCTAAAGCTCAAACAACATCTGTAAAATTTCACTCCCATATTACTAAGCAGCCATAATAACTCTTTGTTTCGGCGAAGTTCCAATTTTGTTTTGTTTTATTTGTCAGAAGGGAGTAGGGCGCTTAATGTCTACGAAACTTACAAAGGGCAGAAAGCAGAGTGTCAGAGGGCCGGTCCGTGTTCACACTATGGTTCTGAGGTGTTTACTGATGGTTTTATATGGTGACACCTTTTATAACGCCTAATTATAGCACGCTTTTTGCGTGACGGGCCGGCCCTTGCCAAAGGGCTCCAGCGATGACCCGGTAGCTGCCGCTTTTTCTGCGCTGGGCTCCGGTAAGGTGCGCCCCCTCCCATCCGCGGAAGCTTTTTACGGCCGCTACTCCGTCGCCAGGGCGCACTGCGCCCGCGTCCCTTCACATCCCTGCAAGTGGCTCGGTTTTAGACCAGTCCTTTGCAAAATGTCACAAGAAAAAAAAAGAAGCTTCTGCATGGCGTTGGACTTACAGAGAATGTGCATTTTTAATCGGAGTAATTGTTACTTTATTAAAGATTATCCGAGGGGAACCCGCGCATTCAAAGCAATCTGATGTGCTGTCGACGTACTTATTATTATTTAGAAATAAATTAGGAGCTATCTAGGCTCTTCTTTGTGTTTTTTTTTGCGTGCGGCATAAACGCACGGTTGCCATTCCCGATCTGCTGGAAGGATGCGGCGGTGCGATGAGGTGTTGCTATCAGATCATCCTTTCTCAGGCAGTCGGGGGGCGGAGGAGAGCCGGAGATTGGCGAGAACATGCGGGCAAGCCGTGCGGGGAAGAAGCGCTCCGGGCTCGCCGGCATTACGGCCATCCGCATATGCAAACGCACGACCATGCGGTTCTTCTTCATTTTTGTTCATTTAACCACACTGCAGCATCAGAATGGCCAAATTTTAACCAAAAAATAATATGCAACATAAAAAAATTATACAACGTAATATAACAAATGTAATAAGTAGCCTATATTACAGTATAATATAATAATTATAATTAAAATTATATTAGATGTTTTTAAATTGTTTCTTCGTATTATTCGGCCGACTACGCAAAGTTTTCTCAAGTACATTTATTACAGTTGCATTTATTATTTAATAATATAAGTTCCCGGAGTACAGATGTAGGTATTTTTTCTGACTTTTTGATAAATTACAGATCGTCTCATGTTGAGTTGTCTATAATGTTGACATTTTACATTGCGCTCTGTCCTTCTGGCGCCGAAGGCCTCGCCTTTTCAGTTTCTCTTTTTTCGCAGAAGGCGTTGTGACCGCAATAAGCGGGGCCGCGCTCCCGTCCGAGGTCACATTCCTGCCTTCCCGTCTGAGGTGATGGACGCGCTACATTGTTCATTTGTGTGAAATCGATACCTGCCATGGACACTATTGTTCAGGAAAGGTTAAAAGCACCCTATTGTCGAGCCTTTGTCTCCCTAATGCGTCTTGCGGCCGCGAAGGAAGAGTGTTGTCGTTGGAAAGACGATCAACTTCTGTTAGCGCTGTTTTGCGCATGTATATGTTCTTAAATGTAACTGTAATGAGATTCGCTGGTGTAGCAGAATTTGCTGTAGCGTTAAGTGCGCAGTAAACACCAGTATAGATTATGCTCTGACACAGTGTTAGTGTCCCGCTAATGTCTTATTCGGCAGTAATTTTCCCAGTGGTTAACCTGTTTCTTCTTCACTACCGTTGTTTCTACATTTTGTTTAACAACATAACCCCCATCCCCTCCCCATCTTTCCTCGGAAAAAAAAGCAGTAGGTGAAAATAAACCCCACGGAGCCTCCCAGCTACCGTATTTGCTCTCACGGTTAAAGTTTACGGGCCATCTCTAAGCAGCCGTCTGTGCCTTCTGGGGGCAGCGGCGCGGTTCCTGCTCGGTGCAGCCGGCGAAAAGCCTTTGTTGCCTTGATTTTTGCCTTAACCCAATGCGTGTGCTTTGAGACCCAAGCCCCCGGTAATCTGTTTTGTAGCTGGGTTTCAGAAACAAAGGCCAGGCCCGCCTAACACATTTCATTTAAAGGGAATGTACCCCCCTGACTGGGGTGTAGTTCATTAGGAGATTACATAGCATACAGAGCCCTTTGTGACTCTGATGGTGCACAGGGATTCAGATCTGCTTTGAGTACGGGGGGTGGCGGTGTTGGGGTGGGGGGGGTGCTCTGAATCCCCCCAGGGACAGCAGACAGTCTCATTGGCCCTGTAAAGCGACCCCCCCCATGGTGTAATTGTTCTATAACCCTGTCTCCCTATTTTACGAGAGGCGAGTGGCAGGACTTCGTAGTTGAGGGGGGGGGGGGGTGCTCAGGAAAAAGTTAAAGCCTGTTTTTCATGCAATTTGCAGGAAGGTAGCGGCTAAAAGAGATTTGCTCCCCATGGAAACGGGTAGAGAGGGAGCTGCCACTCCAGCCTGCATATCAGCTTGGGGGGTATGGGGGGGGGGCAGTAAAAGGAAGACAGAGAGTGTGCAACCAGAGAGACCCCAGGGCCGCAGCGGGAGAGAGAGCCTTCCAGGCCAGGACTGGGGATGAAAGGCAGGGCCAGGGCTCACGAGGGGGACGCAGGCGAGGCTGGTACAGTTACAGGGAGAGGGCCGCTCTCAGGGCCCCCGCCTCCCCCAGGGCCCCCGCCTCCCCCTGGGCCCCCGCCTCCCCCAGGGCCAGCGCAGTGCCGCCTGCAGCGTTTCTACCTTATGGTGGGGTGGGATGGTAGCTGGGTTATGATTCTCCCGCAGTGGACTTGCTGGTCTGGGTCCCATGGTGTCCAGCAATATCAGCAAGAGAAAACTCACATGTAACAGAAGAGATATCAGGTGACTGTCAGGCCCCCCCTCAGTGTGATCTGGATCGTATGTTTATGCCAGACGAAGCTGAACCTTTTCCCCGCTCCCTGTTCCTCCTTGTGGGGGGGGGCATCCGGATGCGACCACCTCCTTCTCCCTCCTCCCTCCTTCACTCTGTTCATGTTCTGCCAGTCAACATACAGGCAAATCACTCTGTTTGTTGTGCCTTAAATAGCATTTTAGGCAAGGAAAGCAAACCAAAAACAAACATGGAAATGAGCTGAAAAAAAAAACGAAAGTTTTTTTTTCTTCGTTTGTCAGGAGCAGGACAAACCTGTGTGACTCGTTCGAGCCGATCAAATTAAAGAGTAATAAATCCAATAATGTCCTCATTACGGCAAGTGTTTGCATGTTAACTGCCAAGTTGCTGCTGATGGCTTTGCCCCTGCCGGCTTTTCTTCTCTGGCCTGGAATATTTATGACCCCCAATGGGGGCTGGGGTTTGGGTTGATTGCATTTCTACCAGGGGTTAAAGCAATACTGCTTGCATGAGAAAGAGACCAGCTCATGTTCTCTAACCCCCCACTCTCCCCCCCTCCAGCTACTGCTCCCACGTAGAGAAACTGACCAGTCATGTATTCGCTTTCCTTTTTGCTTAAGTGGGGGGGGGGCAGCATCGATTGCGTCTATCCACCGCCTGGCGTGTCGGCCTCGGAGTTTATGGTCAGGCGAGTCGCCCCCGTGACCCGGGTGCGAGGTACAAAGGCCTGCCGGCAGACATCAAACAGGCTTCCTAACCGCTCTCGCTCTGCCTCACTTTCATGTTTTGCGATGAAATCAGCTTTCCATATCGATGCCACCCGCTGATAGGTCATAGGTGTGATCGAGCAGCTCGATTCGGCGACGTCGCCTGAGTATGCGGGTCCACGGTGTGCTGTGTGTCAACCGGCAGAACCTAGCCACCTTTGAAATGTGTGTGTGAATGATGCCACATTACACTCACACTCAAGGCCAGACAACTTCCTCATATGGAAACAGAGATTAAATCAGGACATGAAAGAATGGACAGGGTACATGGCTGGGAGTAAGAGAGGGACTCACGTACGCAAACACACACACACACACACAAAAACACACACACACACACATGCATGCCGGGCAGCAGACACAGAGCAGATATCATGCACCGATAGCATTTCCGCGGCACGTCTGTCCCTCTCTTTGATTTTGCAGCCAGAGACGTCGGCAAGAATGAAGAATAGCTGGATATGTGTGTGTGTTTGTGTTGGTAGGGCATCATTTCATTGTGGGAACATCCATGGACATGTCAATACTGTGTCCCACCCCCCCCCGTTTAGTGTGTGGCTTCGGTTGAGTAGTGCTGATGAGCTTGGCAGATGGCGCCCCCATTCTCTAGCGCCTCTGAACTGCGGCGGTGACCTCGTCTGCCACCGCTGCACCCTGCATCACCTGCCTCCGCTGCCTGTCTGTCTGGGCTGCGAGCGCGCAGGCAGGAAGCTCCGCAGCTGTGCGTGTGTGTCTGCGCATGCGCGTTTGTGCTCCTGTACCGTGCTGATTGGTCGTGTACGGCGTCTGTAGGCTCTGACGCCCCATAGCAGCTGCCTGGCTGCACGATTCGCTGTCCAGCGTTAACACCTGCATTACTGCCTCCACGGTTCCGAGGCCCCCATCGCAGGTCGGGCCTCGCCCCTGGAGGTCGCAGTTCGAGTGCTGGGCGTCATGCCAGATCACATAATCTCACGGTGCTCAGGCAAACAAACAAACAAAGGAGATATTTATGTTTCATGAGGTCATTCTTTTTATTGCGGCCTCATATCCGCTGGCCGCCCTGGGCCAGGGGAGCGGGGGCTGCCTCTGCTCTGGTGGGTGCGACCCAGAACTGTGCTGTAAAACGAGGTTGTAAAGACCAGTGCTGCTCGAGTGACCCCCCCCCCCCCACCCGCCAGCCAGGGATGACCGCCACCCCAGTAGGCCAGTAAAAACACCAGCTGATATCTAGTGACTCCTGATTTTGTAACTGGAAAAGGACGAAAGGACAACGAGAATTTCTTGATGTGATTCCTGCACAGAACCATCATATTTATGGAGTTTAATTAGCCATCTAGTCTTAGCGTGGCCGAGGCTTGTCGCGAAACCTCTGAAATGGGCTTTTTGCATGAAATTGTAGTGTTTCTCCTGCTTATAGCATTTTTCAGCGTGCAGGGAGAGCAACAGGCAGGGAGATTTGGGGTGAGCAGACAGACGGACTTAGAGGCTGACAGGCTCGCCGAAATTCAAAGGGGGGGGGGGGGTCTGGTGGGATCCTCAATAAATGAATTTGAGCATTGTTGGGAATAATTATAGCTCATGCTTAAAGACGTGTCTGTTTAAATTCTTTTAGTTGTTGTGCTGGCTTTACGTAATGGGTAGGGCTAATTAGTTCTCATTATTTTTCTGGAACCGTATCCTGTTCTGCCGGGACATGCAGGAACACCTGTATTGTGCTAAAGCCATCTAAACACCTCGCTGTTTGAAAGCTGCTTATTAACATCGGTTAAAACGCCCCAACGCCACCATCCTTTTATGAAGTAACTAAGTGCCTCTTTGCTCTCTCCTCCCCTCCTCTCTGCCTCTATCTGTCCCTCTCTCCATCTCCCTCTACTTCCTGCCCAGGTTCGTACCGGGACAGGGGCTGGTGCTGTACCCCCAGATCGGGGACAAGATGGACATCGTGTGCCCCCGGGGGGAGGGCGGGCAAACAGACGGGGTGGAGCTTTACAAACTCTACATGGTGGAACGGAAGCAGCTGGAAGCCTGTGCGGTCACGGAGGCGGACACACCTCTGCTGAACTGCGACAAGCCTGACCAGGACGTTAAGTTCACGCTCAAGTTTCAGGAGTTCAGTCCCAACCTGTGGGGCCTGGAGTTCTTCCGGGGGAAGGACTACCACATCATCTGTGAGTGCCTCTCTCTCCGTGTCTCGCCCTGCACGGCTCTCCTCCTGCTTTATTGGCCCGTTTTCCCTCAGCCTTTCTTTCTTCTGGATCCTGCTCTTGAACTGTCACGCCACCCCGGTGCTGCCCGGTCCCGCTTCTGATGCTCGGCCGTGCCCCCATCCCTTATGCTGAGCCGCCTCGGCTCTGTCCGACAGAGATGGGCCGTACCATCTATGTAGCAGACCCGGGGGTGGTACGGGCCAGACCATTGGCATGAGGGCCTGTGGCGGCGGGACAGCACGGGCAGGGCCATCTGTGTCAGCGAGCATATTGGTTGTTTCCTGGGCGGCAATGGGGGGGGGTCTCTGCATGTTCGGAGGGTGAGCGACTGCAGAGACGAGGAGGAGTGAGGTAGTGATGCAGGGCGGAGGCCTGAGGGTGTGTGCGACCTTGCTGAAAATGGGGGGGGGGGGCAGGACATCTTTATAATGCCTGGATGTTCAGGGAGGGGACTCACTTCGCCAAAGACGATACTGTCTCACTGGCTGCCCGCTTTGTCCAATGAGGGCACAGGGCTGCAGTCACATGACCGGTGCGGCGCAGTTCCGCCGTGGCTGCGCGTCCCGCCTGGCGACAGAAGCAGTTAGCGCCTCCTGTCTTCCTCGCCCCCCCCCGTCACGCCGCAGATGGAAAACTGGCAAACGTTTCCCTCACGCCCTCTATCTGTTAGATAGAAAATGCAGTTATGGGGCATGGGGGGTAGGGCAGGAGATTATTATAAAAAAGTATTTTTAGTACGTGTGTAACATTAAACAGAAGATGCAGTTTTTCTCTGTCTTCTTGTTTGGGGGGGCATTTATCTGCTGGTGGGGTGGGTCGTTTACTGAAACACGGTACTGCCCACGGCTTTGAAAATCTTTCCGCCTGTCTTGGAGCTAGTGCTGCCAAGTCAGACCCTCAGCACAGGTGTGGGGGGGGTGGCAGGCTGGGGGGGCGGTGGCGGTGTGCCCTGAGGCGCAGCGAAAGCTGAGGATTTGCCCCGCGGTTCATCTGCCAGTGCAGGACAATCGTCTGTGCCTGCGGGGCACTCGGCAGTGGGTCGGGGGGGGGGGGGGGGCGGCATGACGGTGCCCCCCACAGCCCGACACAGTCAGCTCTGCTTTCGGGGAAGTCATTTTCCCGGTTGCTCAGCAAGCAAGGAGCAACACTGTGACTGCTTCTGACTGCCCCCCCTCTCCGCCCCCGCACACTGGTGTGCTTAATGGATTAATGGATTTAATGCTGATTTAGCTGCTCACCCACCAGTCAGCTATGCCGTCAGCCACAGATGCGTCGTGAAAAGAAAAACCAGGCAGGTAAAGGGCGCCTTCGGCCGTGTGGAACGCAGTCTGTCCTGACGGCGCCCCCCGCAGGCGGCTTCACATGCACGGCTGGTGTGATTATTTCAGGCTGCCAGGCTTCCAGCCGGGAGCACAGAGAAAGAGGGCACTATCTAAATAGTTCTTGTCTGCGTGCCAGTGGCCCAGAGATCTGTTAAAACAGCCACACAGGATTCGGGCCGTTTAAAAAAAAAAGTGCTTGCGGGTGCTGTAGGAAGAGATGGGGTCGCATGTCTGCATCTCCGGACTGGTCCAGTAAATTCCCCCAGCTGTTTGAAGGCACGCTTTTAGCTTATCCGCGGATCCCCAAACGGGATGGGACTGGGGATGGGGCTGAGTGTCAGGGTGGGGTCCCGGAGGCGCGCCGACGGTCCAGCTCGCAGGCTCCACTGTCGATGCGAATTAGGCTGTCCGGCACTGAGCGGGCGCTAACCGGCGCGTAACCTCGGCGCCATGGCGATGCCTTCACGCTTCACGGGATGCTCAGGGGGTAATTACTGCATCGTTAATATCATCGCTCCATCTGTCTCCCCACTCCACGTCCTCCAACCTCATCTCCGTCTCTCCGTTCTTCTCCCGTCCGTCCGACCAGCCGCCGAGGGCCTGTGGTTTTTCCATGCCGTTTCCCATGCAAATGTGAGCAACTCAAGGTTGGGCGAATTCTGTAAGTGACTGAAAACGTAATGAAAGAAGTAATGGCTGAGTGGACTGCGCTCTTTCTGGGAGGAGCCAGGGGTCGGCCGCGGCTGTGACGCTATGGAGTGTCCTGACGGCGGTTTTCCCATAAAAGTGCTGACTTATGCTTAGGTTATTTAGTTATATGCACAAGTTCGCGTTCTCGTTAAGATGTTTAATTGTGTTTTTGGGTCGTTCTCATTCTGCAGCGTGTGTGTCTTGGTTTGAGTGTTAGCAGAGTTTACACACACATACCAACACATAAACACAGTCTCTGGCAGGCATACACACACGCTGCGCAGGGGGCGGGGCCTCAGTGGTAGGTGCCGCCATACGCGGGCATCTCCAGGGCCGTTTCATTAATCTTGAATGACAGGGATTGTTTGCCTGTTTGTTTTGGAAAGAACACCCCCCTCCCACAGAGTGGCGTCATGACACAGGAGGTGTGCTCTCTTAGCCGTGGTGGTGGAGGTGTGGGAACCATCCAGAACGGCATGGGGGGGCCGGGTACGTGCAACTGTCTGAGTGAATGGGGGTGTCTCTCTAATAAGGCAGGGAGGCGTCAGTGCAGCGGTGCTGCCTACACCCACCGCCATCCTCCACAGGATAGTCACACTCCCTCTCTTTCTCCTTCTCTTCTTTCTTTCTGCCTCTCCCCCTCTCATTCTCCCTCTCTTTTCTTCTTCCCTCTCCCTTTTCTTCTCTCACCTCTCTTCATCCCTCTCTCCTCACTTCCATCCCTCTCTCCTCTCCCCTTTCCTCTCTTCCTCCCTCTCTCCTCTCCCCTTTCCTCTCTTCCTCCCTCTCTCCTCTCTCCATCTCTCCTTTCTTCTTCCCTCTCCATCCCACCACCGTGCCTTTGGTCACAGTGCCATCCCGGGTCCAGTCTCTGTCTCCCCGTCTCATCCGAAGACTGGAACATTCCGATCATGGGCCGCACGCGTCACCTCCGTCGTCCTCGCCTGTCACCGGCACTCTCGGGGGAGCAGTTTGAGGTGCAGTGGCTCGTTCCAGCCTGAGCGCATGGAAAGACCATTCTGCCGTTCGCGCCCGTCGGCTACAGTCCTATCTCAGCACCCACCAGCCTGCTTATTTTATTCTTCATATTCCGGGGCTGGGAAGGAAACTACACACACAAACATAAACGCATGCGCTTTCACACATTGTGAAATAAAAGATTTGTGTCCCTCAGCTGCGTATATTAAGGATGGCCTGGTCCCAGAGATACTGAGCGGGCTGGGGTGGGGGCGGGCCTTGCTGGTATCATGGGACCAGGGTGGATGTTCAGGAATGGGGGGGATTAGGAGAGTGTCTCAGTCGCTCTGGATGCTTCTTTTGTGTATATGTGTGTTACTCCTGTGTGTGTGTGTTACTGCAGTGTCAGTGTGTGTGTCTGTGTTATGTTGGTTTGTGTGTGTAACTGCCATATTTGTGTGTATATCACTGCAGTGTGTGTGTCACTGCAGTGCGTGTATGACTGGGAGCTCACAACTGGCTTTGGGAGTATGTAGGTCTGTGTGTATGTGTGTCACTGCAGTGTCTGTCTGTGGGTTGTATTTACCACATTGTGGGGACTAAATAGCCCGTTATGTGAGTCTCTGTGTCACTGTAGTGTCTCTGTATGAGTCTTTGTGTCACTGTAGTGTATCTGTGTGAGTTTCTGTGTCACTGCAGCATCTGTGTGAGTCTCTGTGTCACTGCAGTGTCTGTCTGTGTGTGGATTTGTGAAAACAAGCTCACACAACAAACATAGACCTTTAAAGGAGATTTCGCATTCTTGTGCCCATAGATTCGCAGCGCCTGAAAGCCAGTCTGCATTCTGGGGAGGGTTAGGCATGGAGAGAGAGAGTGGCAGAGAGAGAGAGAGTGGCAGAGAGAGAGAGTTGCAGCTGTCTACGCAGCGACCAGCCGCGGCACAGAGAGACCAGCCGCTCTCTGTTCCTCCCGGAGAGTGCTGTGCTGTCCATTAAAATGCAGCTCACATGTACCTCCACGTGGCCACAATGGGGGCAGCAGCAGAGGGCGCCGTTCGCCGGGGGTTTTACAGCTGGCTGATGAACACTTGTTTATGAAAACCCTCTTCCGGTTGAATAAAGTTAGAGAAGACAAAAGGAGAGACGCGCCGGGGATTCTGGGTGGGGAGCATGCAGGGCGGTAGCCAACCCCGCGGTTGGATCTCATTAGAGCCGTGTCAGTGATCCGATGGAGCTTGGGACTGCTGAATGGGGGGGGGGGCACTAGGGGGTGGAGCCATGGAAGGGGTCGGGCCATAGAAAGGGGTGGAGCCATTGGAGGGGGGGCAACACATGGCCTAGGCTCACATGACTGTTGCTCCCAGATTCCCCCTCCCTCAAACCCGAACTGGCCCCTAGGAAAGCAACACTTTGCGATTTTTACGATGTATTTTTTTAAAAGGCGCTAATAATGCCCCTGATGCACGTTTATCCACGGGCCTGTGAAGTATCCCTGTCTCTTCTAGCCCCTGCTTCCTTGCCCGCGTTCCGCACTGGTGTAAAAATTAATCCACCCCCGGGATGAGATGATGGATACTGCGGTGAGGAATTTCCCATGTCCACCCTGCCCCCCCCCCCGTCCACTGTCCTGCTCACTCCTTGGGATGCTTCATTATGGTTAATCATATTATAGCTGCTGTCCTTGGGGGTGGGGGGGGGGACCGTCAGCTTTCTGTGGTCTGGTCTGGGATACCATTGGAGGGGGCTGTTATTGAGGGAGCTGAGCATGGCTGTGTGTGTCAGTGTGCGGGCAGGCGTGTTCACACCCACATGTTTGTGTGCTCGCTTGTCTCGTCTCCCGGCCGGCTCTCGCACTCCCTGGTCAGCCGTCACGCTCCCCTGTCGCTTCTGGGCGAAAGCGGCTGTGGCTTTGGTCCCCTGAGCAGGCCCCACTGGCGGGTCGCCCTCCCCCACTGTCCGGCCCACTTTGGCTGCCCCTGGCGTCCTCCTCCCAGCCCCCCTGGCACCCTCTCTGGACTTACTGCTGATGAGGTGTGTGGAATACATTTAGGTCCAGCTGTGGCTTTGCTGTCCTCGTCTCCCCTCTCAGAGAGGAGAGGCCCGTCCGCTGATCTGGCTGCCCCCTCCATCCATCCATCCATCCATCCATCCATTCCTCATTCTTACATATGTTTTCTGTTATGCTCATTGTAGCACACACAATGAGGTTTGGTTTCTCTCTGAGAGGCCCTCCTTGTGGGGGGAGGTTTTGATCCCTGTAGCTGTCCCTCGTCGGCTGTGACCACGAGCTTGACCCCGCCTGTCCCCTCCTGTCCCACAGCCACGTCCAACGGCACCCTGGAGGGCCTGAACAACCAGAAGGGGGGAGTCTGCAAGACCAAGTTCATGAAGATCACCATGAAAGTTGGCCAGAGTGAGTACAGTCTGCTGGCACAAATAACCGCAAGTCTTCCTGTTGCTGCTGACAGTGTCTGTGTTGGAAACATCGCTTATTATCACAGAAAGCAGCGTACAAACGGCTCTGAGCCTGTACTTTTGTACACTTGCTATTTTGTCTGGACTCGCACAGGCACTTTGATAGCAGACCCTGATTCCTAAAGCCGCTTTGCGTGGGGGGGTGGGAGGCTTTTGGTTTAATTCTCCCGGGCCTTCGCTCTCAAACAGCTCCCAGAGGGAAAGCTGTGCTAGCTGCCTCGGCTGCGCAGGCGGGCAGGCTCCATCTTTCACGCCTGCGTCGTTGAGCCGCCGCATGTAGAGATGGCTCCCACACGCGTCATATTTATGATCCAGCTGTGACTGATACTAAACAAATATGTACGTGATTTCCCAACATTCGTATGCTGGAGGCAAGTGCCAGGGATGTTATCCTGTGTGGTTGCACCATGATCTCACCAGGTATAGCCTTGTGTTTATTCAATGATAGTTAATGACTGGATTAGCCCCCACCTCCACGGTGACGCCCACAGGTGGGGTCAGGGAGCGCCCCGAATCGTCAGAAGGGTGTCTGACGTGTCCCTGTTGCTTATGTGCTGCAGGTCCTTCAGACAAGACGGCAAGCAAAGACAACCCCACCAGATACCCTCCGGACAGTGAGGAGGGCAACGGCAAGGACCACAGAAACTCAGTCAACACAGACGGCAGCCACGGTATGTAGGAATCACCTCCCATCCCATCAAACCACGGTGTTGCCGAATTCCATCTAGTCCAAATGTGCATTATATGCTCAGATCAAAGGTACAACTGCGGTCCAGATCTGTACATGGGGCCGTCTGCTGATGCTCGCTCCCGGGCTCAGCAACCCAGCCCAGAATGGCTGAAAGATTCACGCAAAGTAAAATCGATCCCAGTATCTTGGCATGGCTCGGCCAGGTTTAGTGGCTGAAGGCAGCTGCAGAGCCGTCCCCATTTGGGTGAGCGGTTTCTCAAGAGCGCCCTGGGGTCGTGGAACCCCCTCCGGTTCCCCGGAGAACCGTGAGTCTTTCTTATCTTTCTTACATAGCAGGGATGGAATGGAGGGAAAAAAGAGAAAAACTCGATTTGGGAAATGGAGTCTGCTCCAGCCCCAAGCTCTCCTTTAGGTCTCCTCATGATCAGTCGCATTGGCAAAGGCGGGAGCCGTGTGCTGTGGAGACATCCTCATCATCCTGCTCGCACAGCCCTGCCCCCCGGCCCGCCAGCCGCTGCTCCACACGCACACAGCCGCTGTGTTTGTGTGAAGCCCGCTTCCCTGTTGCCTTTCATCATGGCAGCCAGCTCTGTTATTCGCACCTCGCTTTTATACCAGCAGACATTTGCCTTTTAGGCACCGGGGGGTGGGGTCTGGTGCCGCCCTGCTGGATTTTGGTGACGCTGACATCATCTCTCTTGCCACCCCCAGGCACCCCAGTGGAGGACGAGAACAACTCGGATGGCAAATCTTCGAGCGTCATCGGTTCGGAGGTGGCCCTCTTTGCCGGCATCATCTCGGGCAGCGTCATCTTCGTCGCTGTCATCGTCATGTTGGTCCTGCTGCTGCTGAAATACCGGCGGAGACACCGGAAGCACTCCCCGCAGCACGCGGCCGCGCTCTCGCTTAGCACGTTGGCCTCACCGAAACGCGGTGGCGGCGGTGGCAACAACAATGGCTCGGAGCCTAGCGACATCATCATCCCGCTCAGGACTGCTGACAGCGTTTTCTGCCCGCACTACGAGAAGGTCAGCGGGGATTATGGACACCCTGTCTATATAGTGCAGGAGATGCCGCCTCAGAGCCCGGCTAACATCTATTACAAGGTCTGAAGTCCACCAGAGACACCTGCGGGTGGCCCATGTCCTTGTGTGTTTTCTTAGTATTATTATTATGGTTATTAATACGATATAAATGATCACGATTCCGGAAGAACTCCTAGTTCGCTGCTCAGTGGGTCAGGGCTCCCCCTGCTGGCCCCGTGTTTTGTGCACTAAGACTGATGTCGCGGAATTGCCCGGCGGAGCGGCTCGTTGNGGGGGAGGGGGGGCAATGGATTGCGGCGGAATGGAGCGTGGAGTCTGGACAGACGGAGAGAGGGAGCAAGCTGGAATGGCGGGCGGGCCATCTTCCCACTTCGCTCCGGGATTTTATCCGGATGTTACTCCTGCCTGGGACAGGAAATGGAGAGGGGGAAGAGAAGGAGGGATGGAGAGAGAGGCAGCAGCCGACTGTGACCTGATTGCGGCGATGGCTGTCCCGTGCCTCCTCTTTGACAGGGACAATCTAGAGGATGGGAGCATGTGAGGGAACGGAGTGAACCTCCTCGGCAAGGCAGGGATCTGACTTACCTACACTCCAGTGGTCACCCACCCACCCACCCACCATGGATCGCTTTTGTCCTTTTCTCGTTTTCTTTTTTCCCCATTGCTCTCGTCACCCGTCACCTGTTTTTTATTTTTTTGTTTGACTCTTCTCAGTATTTGTTACTTGAAGGCCTGAACGTTCTCATTACCATTTTTATAAGTGTATGCACGCACCCCCCCCCCTCACACTCACCCTGACATCATTTCCATTTCAGTGCTCTTTGCTTAAAGGTTGTTTCAGTACCGGAGACTCTCACGGATCTGGTCATCTGGGTGCTGTGTCACGGGAGTGACACGCAGAAGGGCGGCTGCCTTGGGGCGTAGCGGGAGGAGCTAAGAAAGTAAGAATGGGGAGATGGATTGGGTGAACAGGCGAGAGGTGCGATCTGGTTGGTCCGTTTTGGCTGCCCATCGAGGTGTAGAGCTTCACAGCCTTGGTTGGACAGCTGGTTTTCGTGATGGTGGGGAACACACACCAAAGCAGCACTTTTTTCGGTTCCTTCACAAACTTGTGCGAAGGACTAGCATCAGCAGATGCCGGCGGAGCAGTAAAACACCCGCCGCTTTTGCAACTTAAGGTCTGTCTTTAGTTATATCAAATAAAAGGCTTGACTTGCCCTGATGGCCCCCCCTGCAGGACGGAGTACCAAATCACACTTCTGAGTTGGGTTTCTCTGCTTAGATGGGGGAGTCGGCGATCTGGAGGTACAGGCCAGAGTTTACCTGCCTTACTGCTGTGTTACCTGAGTAAGAGTGAAGAGAACCCTGGTCTGCTTCAGCCCCTGGAGCTCACCTAGGTACTGTAATTCGTGGCCATAGGTGGTGGGGGACAGGGGGAGGACGAGGGGCTGGGGATCGACTGGTGCTCTCCTCAACGCATAAAGCACAGGAATCCTCTGCTCTTGTTTTGTTCGCTGTTTCTTAAGCCTCCCCTTTTAAAATTAATTGTACATTTTAAGGGGAGATTCTGATGAACTAGAAAAAGAAAGAAAAGAACTTGAGAAGAGGAATTTATTTATGATAGCAAAATAGAGGACAGGAGTTATTCGGGACTGTGAGAAGTTTAGTAATATATTATGGTAAATGCACATTATGCAAGGTAGGTTTGTGTTCTGAAATCCCCAGTTTTCGTTTATTCCCACACAAATATCTTGAGTTGCCTTTTTAAAACAGAGCTGGTGCGGAAGAAAAGGAGGCAGGGTTAACTTGGACCTCTGCCTTTGGGAAAATAGCTCGGGTCCAAAAATAGCTAGGATTGGTGTAAATGCACAAAAACAGGGCCCTTGAATGTGCTTTCTGAACCCCCGGCGGATTCAGTGGTATATCGGGCTGGCTGGACCCGACGTTTGCCCATAATATCCCACAATGCTTCACTGTAGCGTCTCCTCAAAGGGCGACGGGAATGTTTATGTACCCGTCCCGGCTGGCGCGGCTGCGCTTCACTGCGTGCTCGTGTGCGTACGTCCGCACGCCCGGGCACCTTCACCTGTACCTCATCTTAAACCGGTCAGCTTGAACGTGGCTGTGAAAATTTTGTTAATATTCTGCGCTTATCGTGCTCTTCAGGCGACTGACCGATATTCCGCGACACGGAAGCCAATTTAGCCGAGCGGGACGGTCGCCCCTGGTTACGAGTCTCGGTTTCTCGCGCACCTCTGCTCGCCCCAGACTTCTTCAGTTCGAATCTCTCATTCCCTCATCGATTACATTACTCCCACTTAAAGTAAAAGCCTTGTATGAATTTGTGTCTCTGTCTGAGGCTACAATGCTGGCAAATATGCAATTTTTATTTATTTTTTAACTATTAAAAAAAAAAACTTTACCCAAGGAAAGTGTTCTTAAACCACTGATAACGATACACCTTAAGCAAAATTTATGTGAATCTGCTGTTAATTTCTTATTTTTTCTAGGATCACGTCTTTTTTTTTTCCCTCCGGAATGTTCCTTTAGAAACACTCTTACTGTGCTGTCGTTAGGAGGTAAGCTGTGAAACACAATAGGACTTAAATTCATCCGAGAAGTTAAGAATAATAATAAAAAAACAACAACAAAAAACTGATATGTGTTCAGCCGCTGCTCGTCCTGGGGCAGAATATGACAATCTTATTAGTTTCTTTAAATCTGAAGTCGTTACCCAGTTAACGTGCAGCACTCTCATTATGTTGCTGTGATTTAATTTAATTTGTAATTTTCGTTATTTTTCACCAACCTGTACCGTTGCAGCAACGTCGTGAGAATGTTATGCGATTGCCGGGAATCGCTCCTTCAGGCTACTGTAAAATGCCTTGCTTGTATGGTCAGCCCTGGTCACGTGACTTTGAAATTTGCACCGTACATCTGTAGTTTAAATATTGTAAATACGTTATTGTTTGTATTGTACATGAGATCCGGGTTGTTACGATAGCCTTATCCACCTTTTTAGAAAACGGAAAAAAAAACTGAAAGGAAAAAAAAAATTAAAAACAATCCGCATCATGGTTAAGAAAAACAGACTTTTTTGGTAACCAGCTTGTGTAAATATCGAGACCAGATCCAATGAGTTTTTTTTATGAACTCCTGAGTAAGATGTTTTGTATAAAATTTGAATTTTTTGCTATGTATTTTAGCTAGAGCTTACTGAAGAAGTCAGTCACGTACCACCACCTCCCTTTTGCACTGTTCATTGAGAATTTGGTTTGAAAACGAACGGATTGAAAAAAAGCGTACAGCAAACATTGCCAAATCGACTGCTGCATATTTGTGCCATACATGTTTACCATGAATATTTATTTAATTTGTTTCTCCTTTTGTTTTGCTTTTTATCCCCTTTTCTTTCGTCTGGTTTGTAAGTAACACAGTATTATGGTTCACTTGTATGTCGGCTTTCCCCACCTTGATTTTTTTCTTTTTCCTACGGATCACTCCTGGCTCCTGGCTGCTCTGGCTCAGTCCCTGCAGTTGAAATAGCCAGTCCGTGAAAAAGGGTTTTATGAGAAAAGGAACTATGACACACATTCCACCAGTCTGTTACAAACTGATATTGTTTTTCAATAAAATGTGTTTCCTATGGATACAGCCCTCTTGTCTCTCTCTGTGGCTCCCTGTTATTTTTTGGTCACCGCCGGAAGTATACATTACGTTCTCTACTAGCATCGTAGTTGTTCACACGCTCTATGTACTCCACACTGACCCTACACTGAATTTTTATAAGTTCAGGATTTGGAGGCCACACCTGGGATTTGAACCAACAACCTTCAGTTTGGACTCAACCAGCTTAACTGTAATTTTTTTTCTTCTTGGTTAATGTGTCATTCCAAGGGTGGTCACATGACCAGCTGTGCTAAGTTTATATGACCTATGCATTCCTATGATAGAAAAATGCAAACATTTGCACATCCAGATCAGGCTTGTGATATGATCAGGGACCCCCCCCCCCCCCCACACACACACACACACTCACAGCAGGCCTGGAATTTAAGTTTAATGGAATTGGGACTCCTTGGTAGCCGAATGTCCCAGAGAGAGTGAGAATACCTGCACCTGTGTCCTTCGTGAGTCTGCATCGATGGCTTTAAGGTTCTGTGCTTGTCTGTGTTTCTTTATATAATTACTACATTTTGGGGATCAGATTCCCCCACAAGGTGATAAGAATCTGTAACTTCTTACCATGTGGGGACATATTTTTAGTTCCCACGAGTGGAAACAATTTTATAAAAAATCTGACAGCAATCAAAAAACTAAAAATGCCAAAACTCTTCTATATTGTTCAGTTACTTATGGTTAAGGTTGGGGCTGGGTTGGGGTTAAGGTTGTCAAGTTGGGAGTTTTTCCCTTAGAAATGAATGGAGAGTCCCCAGAAAGACATGAACATAAATGTGTGTGTGTGTGTGTGTGTGTGTGTGTGTCGGTTCATGTGAACTTATTTCCTTCAGTCTTAGAGGTAACGGATCTGACAGCATCATTTTAGCAAAGATGACCTTACAGAGCTACATTTCATCTGCATTCTGTTGACCTGGACTTTAGACAGTTTATGCATTTGGTAACACTTTACTTACACTTTACATTACTTAAGTCATGTTTTTAGTAATTTATAAACACATTCACAAGAAATGGTAATGCATTCATAAAGCATTATTAACATGGCTATAAAAATTTATAAAAAGACAAAATATTATAGCAATGTGTATTATGCATTATGAATGCTTTATGAAGCTTTCATCTATAATGCATTATAATGGTCAGTATAAGTATTAAGGATGTTTTGTACTGCATTGTAAAGGAATGCAGTGCATTATAGATGAGAGCTTCATACAGCAGTCATAATGCATAATAAACACAGCTATAATGTGTTATACCTTTTTATAAATATAGCTATTTTTATAATGCTTTATGAATGCATTATAATGCATTATGAATGAGTTTATAAATCTTAAGTAAAGTGTTACCGTATATTTAAAAAAATTATAATAAATATAATGATTGGCTGATCTCCAAAAGAGATTTGTGGATTTTCACCATTTCCTCAGTTGCCTGAGAAAACCATTGTAATATAACTGCTGAAATGTGCAAAATGTGTATACTACACAAATGCCATAAATGCCAGTCTGATTTAAACATATTTTATTAATGCAATGCATTTAAATTGAATCATTGTAAATATATTTCATACTGAGGATAATATACTTCTG